AGCATCGAAATAGTACTTGGTTCATCCAATTCCTCGATTCTCCCTTCGGATCATCTCTCAGCTTATTTACACTTTGGTCCCTGAACTTTGAGTCTTTTCCATCTTAGTCCTTTTTCTTCATTTTCTTCCTTTGATCATCACATATTACCCCAAGTTGATAGTTAGCTCGTTTGCATTCTCGATTCGCAATTTAGTTCAACTTTTGATAATTTGTACTTCAGTCCCTGAACTTTCATTTTCTTTCATTTTGGTCCTTTTTCTCATCTTGTCTCTTAACTTCCGTTATGTCCATCATTACAGTCATACAAAACAAGATTTAATATAATTAAGCCATATTCCACTATATTTATCAAGAAATAATCATATTTTGTCGCTCGAATAAGTATGTAAAAACACACTTATCAACCATCAAATTCGAATGAGGGAAGGTGACGAGTGACAAATTGCATTTAAAACCAAATATGGACCACACGAGTGGTTGGTAATGCCATTTGGACTCACTAATGCACCGAGCACTTTCATGCATTTAATGAATCATGTTTTGCGTGTTTTAATAAGAAAATTTGTCGTTGTTTATTTTGATGACATTCTAGTGTATAGCAAAAGCCTAAATGAGTATGGAGAGTATTTAAGAAATATGCTAGTGGTATTAAGGAAAGAACAACTTTACGCTAATTTTAAGAAATGTAATTTTTACATGAAAAATGTTGTTTTTCTAGATTTTGTAGTTAGTGCCAACGGGGTAGAGGTAAATAAGAAAAAAAAATAAAAGTTATTAAAGATTGGCCTACACCTAAGAGTATAACTGAAGTAAAGAGTTTTCATAGGTTGGCTAGCTTTTAGAGGTAGTTTGTGAAAGCTTTTAGCACAATCATCACACCACTCACTGAGGTAGTGAAAAAGAGCATAGGTTTTTATTAGGGTGATGAACAGAAGCATGCATTTAATACTATTAAAGATAAGTTATGTAAAGCACTTGTTTTAGAATTATTTAGTTTTGACAAAACGTTCAAGATTGAGTGTGATGTCTTAGGAATAGGGATTGGAACAGTATTAATGCAGGATAAGAGGTTGATAGCTTATTTCAAAGAAAAGCTGAATGGAGCTACTCTTAACTACCCTGTTTATGACAAGGAGCTGTACTCGCTTCTCTGAGCCTTGGAGACATAGAGGCATTATTTGTGGCCCAAGGATTTTGTGATACATACTGACCATTAGTTATTGAAGAACATATGGGGCCAAGGGAAGATGAACAAAAGGCATGCCAAATAGATGGAGTTTATTGAAACATTTTCCTACGTTGTTCAGTACAAGCAAGGTAAAGACAACGTAGTGGCAGATACTTTATCGCGAAGGTATGTCTTGCTAAATTCACTAAGTGCTAAATTACTTAACTTTAAACATATTAAGGAGTTGTATGAAAATGACTTAAATCTTTTTGACACTCATAAACTATGTGCAAAAGGTGTTGTTGATAAGTTTTTTAGGCATGAAGGTTACTTGTTTCAGGAAAATAAACTATGTATTTCTAATTGTTCAATGCGGGAATTGTTGGTGAAAGAAGCACATAGCAGGGGATTGATGGGGCATTTTGGGGTTTTGGGGTTCAAAAGACCTTAGAAATGTAAGGAGAATATATTTATTGGCCTAAGATGAAAAGTAACGTTGAACGGAGATGTATTCAATGCCTAAATAGTAAGCGGGCTAAGTCTAAGGTTTTACCCCAATACACACCTTTACCTACTCCTAGTGAACCGTAGGTTGATATTTCGATGGATTTTGTTTTGGGTTTACCTAGGACTAAGAATGGACAGGATTCGATCTTCGTAGTGGTAAATGGGTTCAACACGATAGCACATTTCATATAGTGTCATAAAATTGATGATGCCACTCACATTGCTGATTTGTTCTTTAAGGAGATAGTGTGCTTACATAGAGTACCTAACAGTATTGTGTCAGATAGGAATGTCAAATTCTTGAGTCATTTTAGGTGGGTTTTGTAAGATAAGTTAGGCAAGAAATTGCTATTTTCTACAACTTATCATCCACAAACCGATAGGCGAATCGAGTTAGTCAATAGGACAATGACTCAGTTGTGCGCACTGTGATCAGTAAAAATTTGAAAAGTTGGGAGAAGTGGTTACCTTTCATAGAGTTTGCATATAACAAGGTCGTTTACTCTACACTTCACTCTCGCCATTTGAAATCGTTCATGGTTTTAATCTACTAACTCCTTTAGATTTAACACTTTTACCTGTGAATGAATATGGTAGTTTAGATGGTAAAAGAAAGGCTGAACTGGTAAAGTCACTCCATAAGAAGGCTAGGACGTGGATCGAGAACAAGAACAAACTCATTACATCACAACCAAACAAGGGTAGGAAAAACTTGACATTCGAACCATGTGATTGGGTTTGGGTGCATTTTAGAAAGGAGTGCTTTCTGGAGTGAAGGAAATCAAAGTTGTAACCACGGGGAGATGGACTATCTCAAGTTGTTGAGAAGATCAATGACAAAGCATACAAATTGGATCTCCCAGGTGAGTATAATATTTCAGCAACATTTAATATGTCTAATCTCTCTCTCTTTCTCTCTCTCTCTCTCTCTCTCTCTCTGATGCAGGTATAGATTTGATGATGAATCCTTTTGAAGAGGGAGTGGATGATGTAATCTAAGAGCCAAGCCCAGCGGAGATGAGTTCGAGACAAGACATGTTGGTTATCAAAGGTGGACTGATGACATGTTTAGAGTGAGTAAATCTAGCGATGGGGCTATTAATTCAATCAATAATTGATGAGACGATGATCTTGCCGTAAAATAGGGCAAGTCTCATGTTAGGGTCGAAAGCTAAAAGCAATTGAATCAACTCGATACACATGGACAAAAATGGGATCAAGGAACTGAACTGTGTGACCGCACAATAAAAAACACCATGCAGTCGCGTGGTGCGAAGTAGAGATTCAAAGGAAGCAAATTAATTAGCTTGTGTGACCACAAGCTATTGAACCATGTGGTCGCATGGTATTGTGTCGAGACCAAAAATTTGCTTTTCCACGAAATTACCATATTTTGTTAGAATTCTAATTTAGGCAAAATTCTTTTAATCTTTTAGTATTATTTTCCATTTTTTCTAGGGTTTAAGACTACTATAAATATGTTTCTCATTATTCATTGTAAACACAACTTTTAACATATTGAGAGACTTAGAAGAGAGGCAATTTCTTGCTTTCAAATTCTTTGTTCTTCCTTGATCAATTTCTAACTTATCGAAAGTAATCTTGTGGCGTTCAAACATCAGGTGCAATTCTTAGTTTTGTAATCAAGAGGTCTTTCAAGCATAGTTTTCCAAGGTTGCTTGATTCAATTAATACTTGGGTTGAATCCAAAAATCGGGATTAATTGGCTTTCATGGGTTGTCTATCAATCTTGTGTAGGTTCCGTAGTGTCCATGTTACATGGGGTCACATCATATCCCCTTTTAGGGTTCATAGTATTCCCTAATGGCATAGAATAGTACATTGAATGAAACATATCCGACAAAAATTCTCCCTTTAGGCCTGCAGATCCACATAACAAAAGATACCTAGCCCAGTTGAGTTTATCTATTCAAAACAAGCTGAGAAGGAGCCATGTTTAAAGAGGAAATAACCTTCCTAAAAAAGTGATGAAAGGGGACTCTTAAACCTATATCTATCGAACGTGTATATATAGCTATACAACCTAGGCATTGGCGATATGACATTTGATACTATCCAGGACGTAATAGCTATATATAATTGGGAATGTTAAAATGGGTCCTAATTTCAGCCATGTCCTATTTAGAAATATTGCAAAAATTTTCTAAAAGCATTCTCACCACTCTCATTAAAGTTAACTAGCACATTAGAGGGCTCACCTTCCTTGTCACGTACCCCAACCCTGGGTCAAAAACTTCCTATTTGGCCAAAAAGTTTTGGTTAACATCTGTAACAAAATGGGCAACAACCCTATAAAGGGGTGCATCAATATACAAAACTTCTACAAAAGAAGAAGAGTTATTAGAAGTATCACCTCTAGAACTAAAACTCCCAGAATCATAATTACCAAATGCACTCTGAGAATTGACTTAAGACATCGCAGGAAAGGTGTCAGATAAGGATGAGGAATAATGTACAATTAAGTAAAAGATTTTCTTGAGAGAAATCGAATCCCAAGATAAACGAGCTAGATCACGCATCATCCACACGTTCCTAATTAAAGAGTTATGGGCTACTAACCTAGAAAAATGCAAACAAAGCCCGTTAGCACACGTACAATGATAGTGATTGCCTGCACATTCCTCATGTCCTCCCGAACAAAAAGGGATGAGGAGGGCGAGGTGAAAAGCACTCAATAGATTCACCCAGCATAATATAAGACAATTAAAATCCTAGATTTATGAATCTGTAATAAGATAGTCAATGAAGAGCAGCCATCTATTATTATTTTTGTTTTTTAAAATAAAACTGTCCTAATGTTTGAAGGGAAATCTATAAATATCCTTTTTTTTAAAGGAAAACGTATGCAATTTAAATATCTCATTCTCAAATTGCTATTTTCCCTTTTTACCCCAATTTAAGCATTAAAGCTAGTAAGTTTAGAATGTAAAAATCATAGGTAGATAAGTAGGATTTATTGTATATTGTCAACAGGCAAATCCTCTTTTCATTTTTTATTTATTATATATTTATTTATTTTATTTATTTTATTTTTTTATTTTTTTGCACAACTGTGTACTATAGTATTATCACTTCCTTTTGAGCTTTTTTTCAAAAATAGCATGAAATAAAAAGTTCATTTACCAAGCTAGATGTTACCATAAAATGGAATAAAATAGATTTCACATCAGTGTTTCACACGTGATACACATTTTATATCGAGCCATGACAACGTAACTAGGCCATGTTGGCCCCGATCACTCCAGAATAATAAATTTTTTACGAAAAAAGCTATTTGTACGTCAAGGTATTTTGCACACAAAAACGGTTAATGGGTCCCGTACTTGCCGTTGATTTCTCTCATGCTCTTCCTTTCAGAATTTCCAATTCGAAAATTACCATGAACAAATCTTCAAATCGATAACCTTTAACAAACCCTAATTCTCATTCTCTTTTCTACGTGAAATCTCACCCTACCCATGACTTTTCTTGTAAATCTCTGTTATGCATGAAAATTTAACACCATTGGATTTCCCATTCGATCCATTTAAAGGCAAAAATGTTCAGATATTCCGAAGTTATATGCTGATAATCAGAATATTTGAAGGATTGGATAAAAGAAGGTGTATAACAGCATTTGATTTAGTGGGTGTTGGCAATGTCTAATTTATATGGGGCTTTTAATCAGAAGATGGATTATGTATTTAAGATTGTACTTATCGGAGATTCGGCAGTGGGAAAATCCCAATTGCTGGCTAGGTTTGCAAGAAACGAATTCAATCTGGAATCGAAGGCTACCATTGGGGTTGAATTCCAGACAAAGACTCTTGTTATTGATAACAAAATGGTCAAGGCCCAAATTTGGGACACTGCAGGCCAAGAGAGGTTTGTTCCTGCCTTCATCTTCTTCTCGAATCAGTAATATTTTAACCTTCTTTTTGAATTAGCTATCTGGAATTTGTTAATCTTTTGACCTTCTTATTGTCACTTTTTTGTGCAATTTTCATTGCAGTTTTATTTTCAGTCCAAAGGGGTGTTCAGTTATGGAGCTAATTAGTTAGTAAAGAAAGTGCTCAAATAAAGTGGATTAGATGACATTGAGATAGACAGTGTTCATTGTACTTTCTAATATCGTTTTATTACCATGCATCAATCAAACTGCCCTCTATTTGAGTCTCATTTTCTAAAAATTTAAGGTGCGGTTGGTTTATTTTTCCATTTTTCATTTTCAGTTTCAAAAAGATTTTTATTTCTCCAAAAACGGCGAGTTTGGGGCGTTTTCCGCGTTTTGGGAATTTATAACTGAAAACACTCAAAATGATAAAAAGTCGTTTTACGTTTTCAGTTATAAATTTTAACTCATTTTCGAGAATGCATTTTGCATTTTCGAAAACGATGGACTAAACGCGTTTTTCGAGTTTTCAAAAACGGAAAACGAAAAATGGCCCTAAAACGCCAAACCAACTGCAGCCTTATTTTTTCCCAAACTCATTTTCAAGCACACATTTTTCATTAAAATAACTTGTACAAAAATTATTCTAACTCTTTAATCACACATTATTCAAAACAATCACTATTACAAAACTCATTTTTTACACAAAATGGGGCTCAAGCCTGCGTATCGAACATGCAGTCAGTGTTTGCCACTACTGTTGGATGTTGAATGGGAAGCCTGGCAGTGCGTTGCTCCAATTTTTCTTTCTCGAATCTTGACACTGCCCTATATTCTCACTATAACTATTAAAGAGATACTTTATTACAAGCGAGGCATTTCTACGTCCGATGTAAAATTAGATGAATACTGCTAGGCACGGTCAACCAGAACATCTCTTTATACTCCATATAGTTTGTATTATATAAAGGTTGGGATAGAGTTAGTAATAGCTGAAACTATGTTACGCTAAGCAAGACTATAAGTCTGTATTCACTAAGGTTAATTCTGTCCAATATTTAAATTGGAAAAAAGCACTCAATAGCTCTTTGATCAATTGTCATGGACAGAAATGGCGAAACATGAATTTGAAGAATAGAAATAAACCACAAAATTCCAGTCTTATCCCAATAATGACAGCCTCCTTTTTCTTTGGCTGCCCCAATATCAGAATTAGTTCTGCAGGAAAGGTCATGAATGATTGGAATGGAACAAATTACTTGTATGTGTCTCTACCTTTGGGATATTATTTTGCAGGTTCCTTGCTTTTTACCTATAGTTAATATTAATGATTGTGTTTGTATAATCTTTAAAGACCCCAAGTTCATAAGAAATCTCTGATGGCTGAAGAGACAAGGTAATTGTGGCTGTGATATGCTTAAAAATGCATTATGTGTTTTTCCTGGTTCCATGATCCATCCTGATGTGACACGATCCACAATACTGCACTGGTAAAAATTTGGGTATATTTTTAGAGTTTTTGGGTGGTGCAGATCAGTTGGAACAGAGCGGTGCTACTGTTGATTGGTTAGTATCACAGCATATATTTAAATGCCACTCTTCTAATTGATGGGCAGACCGGAGCCAACGTCTATTTGAATTCACTATTAGCATGAGTAGCTGTTTGAAAGATCTCACTGCTTACTTCCGAGTAGAATCATTGCAAGATGGAATTTGTGATTCACCATGAATTTTAGATTTATTTGACATTTGATCTTATGTTTCAGGTACCGAGCAGTAACAAGTGCCTATTACCGAGGTGCAGTTGGTGCTATGTTGGTCTATGACATGACGAAACTTCAATCCTTTGATCACATGGCTAGTTGGCTAGAGGAACTCAGGGGACATGCGGATAAGAACATTGTTGTAATGCTGATCGGCAACAAGTGTGACTTAGGGACTCTTCGAGCAGTTCCAACTGAAGATGCCCAAGAGTTCGCTGAAAAAGAGAATTTATACTTTATGGAGACATCAGCGCTCGAGGAGACTAATGTTGAAAGCGCATTTATGACCATTCTGATAGAAATATACCAGATCATAAACAAGAAGTCCCTTACTGCCAGTGACAGATTGGATTATGCGAAGTCCGCATCTCTGAAGGGTACTAGAATCATTGTTCCTGGTCAAGATTCTGACCCTAATGCAAGAAAAGCTGGCTGCTGCATGACCTCATGATTTTCTCTCTGTGACTGTCGAGTTATTTCCTCGCACTGCCCTTTTTAATACTTCACTCTATTAAAGAATACAATAACCTTGTTTTATTATATGACGGTTTCGTAAAAAGTAGAGCACTATTATTACATTTTAGAATGAAATGCATATCAGTAAATGGTTGTGCTCAGCACATATACAGCTCATTGATGTATGCTTCTGAAGTTAAATTTAGATTTCATAATTTCAAAGTAATGCCAAGTGACTATAGTACAACTGCAGCATAGTCTCACAATTGCCTTTGATGAGCATGCAAGATTTTTCAAAATACTTGTTAAATTTTTTCTGTTATTTCAAAGTGACTGGAACTATAATTTCTTTATCGTGCTTTAAGTTTATTGTCCACATATGCATAATGTATCGACTTAGGTGGTATATTAATCGCAAGTGACAGCACAAATAATGGATTCAGAAAGTTTAACAGGATTATTGTTTGCCATGGTTGATGCATACAATAATAGCTAAGTATGGAACAAACACAAGAGCAGCAAGAGGAGAAGAAAGAGAAAGAAGAAATTAACAC